AACGCCTCTTTAAGTCTTAGGAAATGATCAGCATGACACAGGCCAAATCCCCAGCAGGTATAAACACACCAGCAGCTGCCCGGGCCAAGCCCTACGGGACACGGAGCTGCACCACCACGTCAGCCCGGCACACCTTGTTAACCCCTCCCGGCAAGCGGCATCGATCCTTCCTTAAAAAAAAAAAAAAAAGCAAAAGCAAAGGAGAAAAAAAAAAAGAGTCTAAATAAAGACTGTATTTCTTACCTGGAGAGATTGTCGATCTGCAACCCGTATTTAGTTTCTGTTTCTTTCTGGCCTATTTTAATGTTGAATTCCTTATCTACCAGCAGGACAAAGGCAATGGCCCCCGAGTCTGGCTTCATGTACAGCAGGAAGGAGTCCTTCACCACCAGCCACCTGTACGGGCACAGCAACCGGGTCACCTGGATCTCACCCACGCTGCTCTTCAACACACGAGCCATAAAAGACTCATGAGGTGAAAAGGTGTCTCCTTCCAAACAACTGCAAATCATTTATGGGGGAAAGGAAAGCGTTCAACTAAAAAGTAAAATTGATTTTCAGGGGCTAGTCCAGGGAATGGTTTTCTTGAGCAGAAATGGGCCTATTTTATGAACTTGGGTAATGAGTTTGAATTCAATATAAGACACTCTGAATTATCTGCATGGCTCCTTTTTACAGAAGTCTTGGAAAATAGAGGTTCTTGAAACAAAATCAATGAGAACCTCCCTGCCCACAAACCTCCCAGCCAGGTGCCCCAGCACAGGGCAAGGTGCAACAAGGATCCCTCCATCCCAGATTTTTACTCAGCTTGTACGTTATACCTAGAGGCAAGACGGGAATTACTTGACATTTCTAGCATTTATTATGATGCTAGGATCACTTTCACTCCTATCAAAATATATGAACAAGGCATTCTGGAAAGCCTTTATTGCCAAGCAACAGGCACCCTGTTAGAAACACATGATGAGAGATGACCGGCAGGTTTTATATAAATACCATAGCCTGAAGGCAACTCTGGGGAAAAAAACCCACATTTTTTTACTGTGAATGGCATTTCTAATTTTTTCTCCCCCTGCGGCGTAGCTGGGGTAACCGGCCCCCTCTGTCCCACACAGGTCTCTACCATCAGACCTTCGCCTCATTCTCCTGCACATTCAGAAACACAGAAAGTGACAGAAAATACCGCAAAAAATCTGTTCATTCTTGTATCTTTAGTAACAGCCCCAGCTCCTCATCTACTTCCAGATCCTGTAACTTTTCTTTTCTTTCAGGGCCCTGAAAGAGTTACCCCAGCACCACCTCCCATTTGCTGCCAAAATACCTCCCCCCATCATTTGGTGCATAATTTTACCCCCAAACATACCCACAAAGTACATTTTCAAGCATTCCTCATGCCCGAGAAGCCCTGCCCATACACGTCCATGTCACCACCCCACCATTCTTCTCCGCGTCCCTTTCCGCAGCCCCCGCAGCCACAACACACTCAACCTACTCCAATAAGTGAAATGAATTTGGGAAAACCCCAAATGCCCATGGCAAAGCTGTGGTGGGAAAAGGATGGCCGCGGTCTGCCCCCAGCTTGGCGTCTCCTAAAATCCTTCACTTAAATAACCCTTTCTGGGAAATATTACTGTTATTTGCTTATTTATGGATGTACACGCTGTCAGTCCTGGGCAGGTCGCGGTGGGGATTCGTTGCCCTGCACATAGTCCCACGCAAATGCTTCTCCCATCCCCTTTTTAGGCTCTAAAGGAAAAACCAAGATCCATGGGAGCTGTACATGCTACTGTCCCCGCTAAAGCCTGAGTTCTGCACAACATAGGGAAGAGTTCACCAAGGGGTATTGAGAGGAAAAGGCTTTTTTTTTTTCCCATAAAAGAGAAAAAAGAGTTGGAGACAATTTAATGATTTGACCTGAAAGAAGGTCACGTCTTCATCTCCTTGTGCACTCATTATAGAGATCTTCTGTGAAATTACATAAAGAAGTGTGGCAAAGACTACGAAGGAACAGGACCTTTTCTTCACAAGAACATAGAAAGATTTTGTTGGCAACCAGAATTTTTTAAGATAAACTAACGACAGCCCATTAGCGATGCTGAAATCCAGAAGGTGGCTAATGCTTGGGGAAGCTCTCACAAACCAAGAAATGGTTTCTAGGTGGCAGGTATGAGCTATTTGGATTTTCAAAAGGAAAGATTTGCCCTGAAGGGCAAGCTCCAGGAAATACCCCTTGCATTTTTGGGATGCTAGCTGGTAACGCACATCCTCCATAGCGCACGCCTCCCCGCGCTGCAGCCCCAGGAAACACCAAGATCCAACACAGAAGGTCAAGGGATGGGGACAGCAAGTTCTGCCCGTCTGCAGCGGGAGGTGACGTGGGAACGGGGTGGCTTGCGAAAATGCCCATGAAAACATCGGCATTTAAGCACGTGCAGCAATAAGGAAGAGGCAGCGTATCTAATTCCAAGGTTAATTGCACCAAACGGAGCTCCTCTCTGCTGCAGGTTGGTCACGTCTGATTTAATCCAGCTCCAAAGCAGCCCAGATAAGTGTTTCAATGAATCGATCTTCATCTTGTAAATTGAGGAAGGGAAGCTCAGAAAACCAGGCTGAGGTCTGGCAGCGTCACGAGCCACGTCCCCTCCCGAAGGCATGGAGCCCCCGGGCACTCCCGCAGGAGGGAAAGCTGGGCACGGACCAGGGGATCATTGCCACTTTTGACAGCTCGGGGCCATAGGAAATCCCGGTTTTCCTCTGGAGCAACACGTCCCTTCTGCTATGAACTTCAACGCTAAAGAAAAAACTCACCAGCCTTCACACAGGAGGAGGGGAGGGGAAGAACCTGCGGGCCCTTTTGGCCTGAAACTCTGTGGCTTTTATAAAAAAAGCAGGAATCTACCTCACAGACTTTTCGGGTGGAAAGAAACAAATGAGGATTTTTGTATGTGTGCCCAAGGAGCACACGGCACCGCCGCCGTCGCCCGCCCCAGCAGTACCTTTTGGACCATCGGTAGCACATCCTTCCTTGGCCGCAGCAGTTCAGGCCAGGTATGCGGTGGCCCCCGGAGCGCTTCATGATCATCCCTTCTCTGCAAGGACAGGAACATGGTCAGGACGGGCAGCACGGCTCCCCAGGAGGTGCAGGGCAGCCCTCAGGTGGAGGAACCCCCAGCCCCTGGTCTCAGAGATGGCTCCTGGTGCCTCCTGGTGCCCAAGCAGCCTCTCTGCCACCGTCCCGAAAGCTGGAACAAGGGCAAAAATAAACCCCGCAAAGGGAAATCATGCAGCTTTAAGAAACGCAGGGCCCTGATTTATAGCACAAGTGTGAGAACAAGCAGGTCCACACATCGCAGGGAGGGAAGAGGAGAAACCCCACGAGCCAGCCCATGAGCCTGCGCTCTCAAAACTGTTTCCCAAACTTGCAGCGTTTCTGTCTCGACATTAGCAATTTTTTCTATCCAGATGGCAAAATATTCCCTGGCCAGTTATTTGCGAGGAAGGAAAACTATCAGTTTGAACAATATTTATTTATAAGGCCCTGCTCTTGGTGAAGCGTAACGTGCAAAGACACAGCTCACGACTCACATGCCCTTCGGTCCCAGGTCGTGGATGAACGACAGCTGGCTTACTCCAATGAACTCCATCTGCGGAAAGAGAAAAAGATTCCCCCATCCTTCATACCCTGAAATCCACAAAATACTTTGCTTCATCGAAGTGACTTGTCGTAAAGACAGAACCTACAGAAGATCCTGAGCAGAAGTTACCCATCATCGCTTAAGCATCTCCATGAAGATCAAGAAAAGTAGTTTGGTTGGGTTTTTGGGGTTTTTGTTTGCTTATTTTACATGTGCTTTGGAGAACACATTTCAGGCAACCAGGACAATCAAGATCAAATGTATCACAGGGACCCACCGGTATCCTCCCTCCTAGATCAGTGGCTGAAACAAGGACTCAGGTTTGACACAGTTTGAGGACCCGTTGTGAACCCTGGCTACCTGAACCCTCTCCTTCCTCCAGTGAACCTCATGGAAAGGCTGGAAAGGGAACGAGCAGACATACCCAGGGCTGGGAACAACCTTTGAGTCCTCTACCCCACGGACACACACTGTGTGGGGGTTCAGCCCCTCATCCCACGAGCATCCCCCAAGACCACCACAGGTCGCTCCCAGGCTCCACCGCCCCATCTGGCTCTGGGAGCCAAAAAGCCATCGGAAGGGCAGTGTGGGGCAGGAGAGGAGCAAGTTCAAGCACACTCCCCATGACTTCTGCCGGCCTGCACAGAGCTCCACAGCAGGCACAGCCTGGGAAAACCCACGTGCCATACTATCGAGTCTACCAGCAAATCTCAAATTCCAGCAACCTGCCTCCTTGCAGCTCCTCCTGCTTCAGCGGGGATTGCAGAGGAACATCATGACAAGCAGAGCCGGTGAGAAAGCACAGCACCATTACGTTCACCCCTAAAAATAGGACACCGGGGCGATTTTGACCGAGCAGGCTTTTCTTGGCACAGCGAGACATTCCTGACAGTCTGCTGGTTATTAGCCCTGGGCCCCATTAGCAGGGAGAAATGCCGGCATCCCGCGCAGGGCTTGGGCAGGAGCAGCCCTGCGAAGGAGCTGCCTTGCGTGGCAGAGGCTTGTCTGCACCCAGGCACTTTTAAATTTATTATTAAATAAATTCATTACTTATTATTTATTATTACAATTGTCCAAGTGCAGAAGGGTGCTCAGAGCAGGGCAAGGGCAGGACCTGCTTTCCCCTTCGGGCAGGCAGCAAGCCGGGGGGAAGCCTCTAACCACAGGTTTTGGCAATGAAGCCTGCTGGGACCAAAGCCCAGGACTCAACCCATGCTCCCGACCGCAGCTGGGACACGAGACAGCCTCAGGGCCACCTTCGGGCCATGCCCACCCGTGCCCCACAGCAGCACCCAGGGAAGGGCTCTCCTGCAAGGTGGCCACTGTCCCCTGCTCTTTGGCAAACCAACCTCGGGGCCCGCACTGGCAAAACCCCATTTTGCACAGGAATCACACGGGTGGACCCATAAGTCTCGGAGATATCTTCAAACACTAAGTATAACAAAGAATATAAGTAAATTTGGGGCAAAAGCCTATACTGCGGTTAGGGTGAGGCCAGCTCAGGCTCCCTTCCCAACGCCGTCATTTTTGCCCCACAGAAGCGGCAGTAGGACAGAAGATCCTTCCTCCTCCTCACGCTCCGCTGCTCCTTCCCAAACCTCTCACATCAGTAAGGCCACGGAGAAGAACAAAGGACCTGTTGTTCTCCTCCGAGCAGCTCAAGGACATAAAGTAACCTCTATTCAGTCGAGGCAAATTTCAAGCCCTCATTTTGGGGTGATTTCAGCCTGCTTTCAGAAAGTGGCTAGAACAAGTTATTCCATGCTTTTACTAACAACCTTGCAGCCACCGCTCTCACTACACGTTCTGGAAAGGCACCAGTGGTGACCCACGAACACTTCAGCTCTTTCTGTGGTGGCGCTCGGAGCGGGATGGGGCGCATCCGAAAACCCAGCGTATCCTACAAGCTCTTAACAGAGTCCCAGGCGAAGTCTCAGGCCAGTTCTTTGCCCTGGATCCTTTTTTCATGTCTTCAGAAAATGGCTGGCATTCCCCGTCAGACGAAGCAGAAACCCAGACATCTCTCTCACAGCGGGCACACAAAACCCAATGCACGCAAATGTCGAAACCCTTTGAAAACGTTGGCTGCGACCAAAAAGCTGGCAGCAATTTGAAGAGCACTGTGTGCTGAGGAACAATTCTCCTTGGAGAAGCCAAAAGAAAAGCCAGGAGGAAAAATGACTTGCAGAAACAGAACGACTATTACATAAAAACTAAAGAAAGATTGGCAGCGTAGCAACCTGCTCTTCAGCCAAGGGGGTCTTTGGATGGCAACGACGGCGACAGGGGCCCGTCCAATGCGTTGATCAAGCAGCTCCAATTAGGAGCATTGATTTGTACCAAAAAAAAAAAAAACCCAAACCATAAATAAATTCCACCAGTTAGGAGGAAAATGCCTCAAGCACAGTGGAAAACATCTGATCGGATGATTTATTATTAAGATTACCGCTGCATTAGCTACTTTTGCTATTACAGTGCCTTTCAGCTGTGTCAGGACAAGGGGTAATGGATTTAAACTAAACCAGGGTAGGTTTAGACTAGATCTAAGGAAGAAATTCTTTACACTGAGGGTGGTAAACCACTGGAACAGGTTGCCCAGAGAGGTGGTGGAGGCCCCATCCCTGGGAACATTCCAGGCCAGGTTGGACGGGGCTGTGAGCAACCTGATGTGGTTCAAGGTGTCCCTGCTCCTGCAGGGGGGTTGGGCTGGGTGGCCTCTAGGGGTCCCTTCCAACCCAAAACATTCTGTGATTCTATGATTCATCCAAGGTGCTCGTCATTCGCAGAAGAACCAAGAGGGGAATGCAGAGCAGCCAGGCACTTTCATCTCCTTCGCATCTGAATTCCTGCGCCGCCCAGCTGCCTCCCCGGGGACGCGGCATCCCGCTCCGGTTTCAGAGCGATCTGCAGCAGAATGTTTCAAGTATGAGCTAGGGGCCTAGAGAATGCAGTTCCAATGACATGGCTGTAGCAATAAAAAGAAGAAAGAAAAAAAAACAAACCCCAAACAACAAACCCCCCCAAACCAGCCGGGAGCGATCAGCTGCAGAAAGACGGGCTGGGAAAGGTGGAGCACCAGCTGCAAGGTGCACGAGCCACGGTTTTAAACCGACCCTTTCCACCAGCAATGTCGAGCACGCGTGATTTATGGGAGCGCAAATTGCATAGAGCATCTGCATTTCAGAAAGAATTCAGCAGCTCCACGTTGCGTTTTCATTTCAACTCTTGTTCGTAACTTAGTGGGTTAAAAAAAAAAAACCCAACATAGAGAGTTGATTAGCAGCAGTGGCTGGCAATAACTGAAATTACACCACTCTTTCAAATAATATTTTTGAGCAAGATGCCAGCTACTTCTTACACATCAAATTGGCTTACGCTAAACCCAAATTTAAAAAAAAAAATAAATAATTAGACGTGCTGAAGTTCACATGCAACAACTGAAAGTACTGAAGGGGCGGGCGGGGAGCTTTGCGATGGTCTGCAGATGCGAGTGTCGTATCAGAGGCGGAACAGCAGCCGCTCACATATCCGAGCTGTTCTTCCGTTGTAGCACTTTCACTTTAGACCGGGCTTTTTCACTCAGTTACTAAAGCTCATGCGAAACGTTACACGCACACGTTGGCTCAGTCAAATCTTATTTTTCATTTTGCTTAGGCATCTTGCAACTATTGCAACTCGTACAAAAAAAATGATGCAAAGGTCTAAACAATGATTTTTTTATATGGAATACAATCAAGCCCACAGGCCCTGCTTCCTCATGTTTTGGGGCTATATTCCCCCAGTTTCCATTTCCCAGAGAAAAAGTGTGGACAGATAACACACAGAGATTCCCACGACTTTCATTTTAATGGTAATTGTCTCGAAGCACTTCAGCCCAGAAGTACTATGAAAAGGTTTTGGAAAGGACTAGAAGACATGAGATTTAATCACATCACATAGCCAAAAGGAAAAAAAAAATAAAAAATGAAAGGCTATGAAGTCTGGAGTCTGATCACAAGTCACAACACTTATCTGTTTGTGAACTCCACACAAAATACTCTGTTACGCTGAATGCTGAGAAATTAAGGGAAACATGAGAGGGCTGCAAATTTTATCAGAGCTAGCCAGCCAAAGCAAGGGATGGTTGGTCCATCTCTAAATGATGCTGCTTCAGTAGGTTCTATTTCCACAGCCTGCAGGTGCATCACCCAGAAAGGCCAGAGGATGCACCACCTCTGCAACGGCACATGGTCACCACGGACCTGACCCTCAGCCCACCAGGGACGTCAGGTCTACAAAGCTGCTGTGAGCTTGACTCCCCCATTGCATGGCAAGTCCTCCAGACAGCGCATAAAGCTCTATACAAATAATAAGTTAACCACAAATGCAAAATAAAAGAAGAAAAAAAAAGCAAAACAAATTAAATTGTGCAGGTTGGATGTAAAAATGTATCCAAGGAGACGCGATTGAGCCAAGGATGCTCTTCAACAAGGACAAGGGTTACACATCAGGCAGGTCGCAGCTTGCCATTGCAACCCCACGTCTGACTTTACAAAGAATTTAGGGTTTTAAAATACACCACGGTGCATGGATTTGACGAGAGGAATACGCAAGAGTCAAAATGTGCTCTGAGATTAAGACAGTTACAGTATTTGTCAGCATCCGGGCAAAAGATTTCTCAACCACAGGAAGAGCAAAGCCCTCATTTTGTTCTAAGGAGAACAAACACAGTTCTGAGGAAAACGCCAGAAATCTTCACTTTAGTCTCTAGCCTGAGAATGGTGGGGGTTGTTTTGTTGGGTTGTTTTTTGGGGTTTTTTTAGAAAGGACACATTTTTCTCCCTGTGCTTTCTTCCAGCATTGCCTGCAGGACCCGCTGCACTTAGCGGTGCCACCATTAGCAGCAAAGTCCTCACTGAACACTTCGCTGCAGCCAAATCCAGCAAAAGCCAACAATAAACTGAGAATTTATGTGCCAAGTGACATCTGGCTCCGGGGGCTGGAGACAGAAGGGCGATTCAGCGCAGGAGGAGGGGAGCACCCCACAGCTGCCTGGGCAAGGCAGGACCGCTCCTCTCCTCACCCGGCCCCCACCGCGGCAGCCCGCCTCAAACCACAGACTGGTCAAAAGATCACCCACGTTCTTACATGAGCAGAAATTCTCCAAAATATTTGAAAAAAGCAACGCCTAAGAGTGACAAGATGGATCTGCACTGTAAAATAACTCTCCCCCACTTTGCATATGCTACTGATCAAAATTGCCAAGTTATCCCAATCTTGTCTTCCGAACAAAAGATGACTATTTTCCACACGCAGCCTAACACAGCTCTTGACTGCAGTGGACTAAAGGTCCACATCCTGTCCCCAAGGCAGCACTCGAAGAAACACAGGTTCTCTCAGCCCAGATACGAAGACTTCTTGCAACTCAAAGCACAACGGCCAACCCAAAGCGCAACGGCCAACCCAAAGCGCAACGGCCAACGCTGGACAAGCACTTTGTCCCATGTAAGAACCAGTGCTCAACACACCGAGCTCTGCAAGAAAAGCACACACTGCTTTCGGTCATTACATCCAGCTACGAGCTGCCCAACATCTCTACAGAACTGAAATCCTGCAAAAGAGCAGAATTCCTACCAAACAACAACAAAAAAGTCAAAGAGAAGAACTGGCTGCCACAGATACCTTAAGTTTAGGCTACATTTCTGCCTTGTTTGGAAACCGAGCGTTCCCAGTTATCACCCCTTGCTCAGAAATGTCGCTAAGCTCTGCAGCTACTCAGTGTGTGCATCAGGTTTTGCCGGTAATACAAAAGACGGAGTAACACAATCATTATGCAGCCAAAAAAGGGGAAATAAATTACCATCCTGGGGAGATGTTACAGCTGCAGCTGACAGGTGAGGACTACTGAAGAAACATTCGAGGATGGCTTTCAAAGGAAGTATTTTCGTTTAAAATAGGCCTGAAGTTGGATTTGACATTTCTCCTCATTTCAAAAAGACTGTCGACTTGGGGAAATAAGCCAATTACCATCTCCCTTTGGAAGCGACAAAACACCCGCAGAGGCGGATGGGTATTGCTCGTACAAACTCAAAGCCACCAAAGTCCAGTGAAACTGCACAGAAGAGGAACCCGAGACAAGTTTGCACCCAGGACCACACACAAAGCCCAGACTGAAGGGATATGGCTTGGACTCCAATTGTTTGAGTATTTAAAACTTCAGCTTATCATCTTGAACACTCCTCAGCATTAAACGGAAACCCGCTACGTCCTACATGTACAGTCAGCCGCCTGGGTTGGACTACCTCGAGGAGGTTATCACTGCTGTAACAGTGACCTCCAAGAGCGAGCCGTTCACCCTCTTTCTTTGGTTCTAATCATACAACACCCATACTGAAGAAATCAGCTAAGCCCAAATGCTTGCAACACGGCTGTAAAGCATTTCTTATACAAGCTGCGTGCCTTCTTCCGACGCGTTTGATGTTTGTAAAGCAAATATTCTTTAGGCATTTAAGCAAACTAATTCCTACTTACCGTTCCGTGGTAGTTCCTGTACATCGGCATTTTTAGGATCTTTGTCAAGTAGTCTTCCAGCTGTTTCTACAATTAAAACATTGGAACTTTAGATAAGGTGCAGGAATTTTCAAGGAAAAAAAGAAAGCTGACACCACAATCCAAGTGTCTGGCATTAGGAAGCAGTCAAGAGATCAGACGTGGTTTTCGGCTTGTATAAATACATTATTATGTGCTCACAGAAGTTCATAGCTCAGCAGCACACACAGTTCGATCGCAGGTTGTTTAGTGTTCACAGATCTGCGTTTGTACCTTCCACCAGCAGACCTGTTGCTTGGCGCTGCCATTTTAGAGGTCAACTTTCTTGACTGAGCCCAAGTTTCAGAATAATTTTAGATACAAAAATCAGTCCCTGCTGTTCCCAACGTATACGAATTAGCTTCATGAGAAAACGCAGCCTTGGCCTCATCTGAGAGCACCTATTTAACCCAAACACCAGGCTCATGGGGTGAGGAGCACGGTGACCACACTGCCCTCTCCCAAAGCCATGGAGATGGCAGTGGCCAGGCCACCGGGCGCTGGAGAGCCTGTCTGCCCCAGGCAGGAGTGGGGAAGAGAGGGAACCATTACAGGGGAGGGGACTTCTTCCCATCCTCGTGACAACTGGGCAAAGAGCAGATTAAGCTGTTTGGGCATAGGAAACCGAGCAGAGTCCTACAGGGCACAAAACAAACCGAGAAGAAACAGAAGCCACTGGGACTTTCGCCCTTCTCAGCGTTGGCATCCTGAGTTACCAGCTGTACATCCCCAGGGTGAAAGCTGCGGGAATCCCACAAGGAAACCAAGGGAGTGGGGGGGCGGGAAAGAAAGGGATCTAGAAGACATTTTTCTTCCTCTTGTAAACCAACATCTCTCTCCTGAAAATTCCTACACAGCATGAATGCCACGCATGGCAGGGAGGGCTATCTGCACCGCACAGCCATGAGACACAACCTCGGGTCCTGAGGCTTCAGCGGCAGAAAGCCCAGGGAGGGGGTGAACAGCAGAAAGAAATGATAAGCCCAGGGTGAACAAACATGGGTTTTTACAGACTGGTTTGGTGGGGCTTTTTGCAAACAGCAAAGCTGCAGCGAAGAGGTAGGAAGACATCCACCCTCTTCACAGAAGGGCCCATCTGTTAACATCTGATGAAGTTACACAGAACACATGTGCCTCGGCTAAAATTACCCACTTCAGCATCAAGAGCCCGACTGTCATCTCCCCTTTCAGAGAGGGACAGGACTGAAATCTCTCAGATTTTGATGGCCGCGGGGCTGCCTCCATCACGCAACCTGACTCTGCGAACGGCCTCTTCTATCTTTAAATCCAAGCAGGTGGGAGGAAGGGAGCCGCCACTCCCAGCATCCCGGTTTTCCTCAACTGCAGCGGAAAACTTCGCCCGTATGAACCCTGGGAGCAGCATCCTCCTCTTTGCACGGAGGACAATTTGGCGTTAAAGCTGGGCTTGTCAAAGCCTAAGTTTGTCAAGCAGAAGACTTTAATGGTAATGAAATGCAGGCTTTGAGAGCGTCTGGCTTCGCAAGCATCTTGCCTGGCGTCCCTGCACCGCAGAAACCACCCCAGAGCATCCCTCCGGCCCCTGCAAACACGGCGCCGGGCGCTTACCCTCCTGCTGGAGAAATGCTCTTCCCGCACCGTGCTCTCCGCGGTGTGTGGCAAACTCGGCATCTGCCTCGGTTCTCCCCTTTTGATGGATTGTCTCCTCACCGTGTGACTGGAAGAAAAAAACAACCCCCAACGCCGTGTCTGAGTGCTGCGAGCGCGTGCGTGCCTCCATACATAACCCTTCTTCTGCAATACTTTTAGTTTTCCTATCCAAGCTCTTAAAAACTGAGATGGGTGGGCAGGAAAGCGAAAGAAAAAAAAGCAAGCTTGGATTCATTAAAGAAGGCAGCGTGCTCCAACCGGCGCACAAACGAAAATACAACCCAGAAACATCAGAGTTTGATTTTTCAGGGTCCCCTTCTAAGGAAAGGGAGCCTATACCCTATTTTTAGGGTGTTATGTCCCCCCAGCCCTTAACCCCTCGTAATTTCACCTTTCCTAATATCATCTCCCCACATTTCTCCACGTCAGGAGGCTCTTGCTGACCTACACCACTTCTCTTCCCACTTCTTTTCTCTTTCCCCTCACGCTTCCAGCCACCCCAAGCACCAAGGCCAGTCTGGGCAGGGTTGACCACCCATGCCAGGGACCCCCATACCACCCACACCCAGCCCACGCTGGCAGAAAGCCACAGCATGCCAACAATTTCCATTAGCCTTAGCGTAATCCTTCCCCAATTTCAAGGCAAATTCAGCTCAAAAGCTGACAACCTGGGACCCAGCGTGCTTTCTGAGCCAGCAGAGAGGTGCTTGCACCACTTAGGTTAGAGCTGCTAAATACATTGAGACTAAATATTTTTATCATAGCTGCTAAATTTTGGAGAGACTAAATTCTTCCGCCCTCTCTTCCTTACAGCACAATAAATGGGAATGGTGAAGCCAAATGGATACGCTATTAAAAGAGGAAAGACCATCACATCTTCCCAAAGCCCACCGCCTCCGCAGGGCTGCAGACTCACCTCCTGGTAGGGATAGGGATGCGCACGAAGGCTTTGTACCTCAGCAGCTCCCTGTGAAACTCCTGGAAGTGCTTGAACTTCCTTTTCACGTGCCAGGTGAAATCTCCATGGGTCAGCTCGATGGTGTAAACATTGGGGCTCGGCACCTGCGGAGGAGAACGCCACCAGAAGGGATGCAGCTTTGAAATAAGTCCTTTTCCCGTGGCTGCTCATCCAAAGAGCCCTCATTCAGTTTTACTTAAGGATCGTTCTGTCTCACGGCTTCTTGTTCTGCTTTATTAGGTTTTATAAACACACAGGCAACTTTCTCCCTTAAGCGTTTTCTGGGACATAGGCATTCCCGCTTCCTCAGCCCATGAACAAGCACGCGGGAAAGTTAACCCACAAACAGCATTTTAACGCAGCTCTACGGAAATGAAATGAAATTTCTGGAAGCTCTGACCTTCTTTGTGGAAGTAAAGCGTTCAACTTCCAACACACGCACTCGAACAGGACATCCCGTGAGGTACGTCTGCGTGCCCGGCTCTTTGAACCCACGGGTGTGATAGATGGCGGAGAAGGGAATGCACGCTGGAAGGACCACAAACCCCGTTAGCTCGACAGCCTCGTCACCATCCACGAGGGCACAAAAGCCAGCAGAGAGTTGCAATGCTTTAGCGTGGGAGCATTTACACAGCAGCAATCATTCCACTTAAAACATACCATTTAAGAGAGCTTCAAGATAAGCTTTCACAGAAGGGAGTTGGCTGGAAGAGCTCAAGCGCTAAGAGCAATGCTGAGCTTGGTAAAACCACTGAGGTTGTACCCTATCTGCCCACGGATCATCCCATATTAAATCCAGATGGGACACCGGGCGAGAACATATGGGTGTCAACTCACCGGTGCCTTTTGGGTCATTGAGCACCTCCGAGTCGACCTCCTCCCCCTCAAAGTGGAGCTCCCTGGTGTCCAGGCTCTCGATGATGTTGCTCATGTCTGCAGCAATCTTCTTCAGCGTCGATGTAGCTGCATGGCTTTCGGCTCTCAGTGACATCTCAGAGACACGTGCGCTGGAGACACAGGGGGCTGGGGAGGAGGAAGGAGCAGGGCTGTCATCACCCTTTCCGCAACACCGCCGCGGCCGAGCAAAACCCCCGGCAGCGTGCAGCCCCGTCTGCCCTCCAGCCCCGCGCCCACATTCGTCTCCACTATCCCCACCCTACACACCCGATGCAAAACACCCACCCCTGCAGCGGGAACAGCGAAAAAGCACAGGTAGCTCCAGGCTACAGGAGAAACTTTCCCTCGATGCCATTGACCATGGGACTTGTACACCCCGGTTGTACTTTGAAACAGAAAATCCAGCATATATTTCACTTCCCAGCTATAAAAAACTGCAGGGGGTTGATTGCAGCTTAGGAGCACCTTCACATACGGACTTCAAAGGGAAAGCGAGGAGGGTGCCGCCTCAGCTCGCGGGGTCACCTCAACCACCTCCACACTAGCGATGCCGCAGCAGAAGAAGCACAAACCCCTCTTCACGCCCGGCCACATCCCAGCCCTAACGCACACGCCGCCGCTTCCCAGGTTGGGCTGGGGAAATCAGTAGGCGTTTTGTTAAGCCTTCTTACTTTGGCTGAAGCAGCGATATAAGCTCCTGGTGTTATTAAGATTGCCTCGATTTCCATGCACCCATGGTATCCGCGCATCTCATGCTCTCCCACGGCTCCGTCCTTGCAGCAGGCTCAAAAATCAGAGCCGCGAGGTGGGACAGGGGACCAGCCCACCAACGCTCCATGACCGAAGAGCGGGCAGCGAGTGCGGGGAAGGTTGGTGTCTGCTCAGGGTGGCCAGGCAGTGGTGCTCGGAGGCATTCGGGCACTGGGAACTACGGCACTTCCCAGTTTTATCCCCAGCCACCCGTGAACCCGAGTCAGGACAAAAACAGGGAAGGAAGAATTAAAAAAAATAATTAAAAAATATATATATATATCTAAAAAACAAGATGCGATGCATGTCCACTAACACTGCCACAAGGTC